TGTAATGATGAATGGGTCCAAAGCAGTCAAGTTAAGAGAAATTGCTTTACTTGGTTTTGTGTGGATCACATCCAATGTATCTGACAATATCACTGTGTGCCGGTTCAGCCAGTCTTTTTATGTAGGCACTTTCCTCTATTTCCAATTGACACAGTATATTCATTTATAATTTCCTGCCCTCCACCTCAATCTTGCACGTCATAATAGTCAAGTAATTGCAAACTAGTTATTGGCTTGGATATATTTGAAACAAAGGTTATATTTGTTTAAAAATAAAGTCCTCTTGACAGTTCACCTCTCCACGGTGCTCTTAAAATAACAGGTCAAGGCTGGTGAGCAGGAAGATAAAGGATGCTGAAATGACAAATCTTTCAGCTCCCCCTGCTCCCTCTACCCCCCACTCTCATTCCCTCCCTCTGCTGGAGTTTGTTTGATGAGGCCTCTCGCTGGGTTTGGGAAATTATGTCTTCTTGCCAGCTTCTCATATCAGCTTCATTAGTGAGATGATGTAAAAAAAGAAAACCCAACAAACTAATGGATGTATCCCTTCATCCCCGGTGTATGCCGCACACGTTTGTTTGTGAATTAAAGTTGGCAGGGTTTTATTGTATTTGATTATTTAATTCCTTCCAAACATGGTTTTATGAGACAAGCAGCAGCAGAGACTGAGCTTTCAATTCTTCTTCACTGACTTTATTAGTTTTGTTATGTTTGTTTGGACCTCAGTACACCATACCACAGTAATAAAGCACAGGAGGCGCACAGGGGGGAGGCTGGCAGGATAGCAGCTGTAGATGAGGCTGTAGTTAAATTTGAGTGCACGTGTGTATGGAGATTACATTGTGCATAGAGGGACAGATTTATGACTTTGTGGTGACGCGTATTGATTTACTGAGATTGTGTTTTTGTCTTTGCAGAAGCCATCAGCCATTAGAGCGCTTGCCTGGGTGTCCAAACAAACATGTTCACAGACAGAAAAACAATATGGTGTGAATGTGTGCAGGAACGCCATGTATCTGTCAATCCAGCTGCCACATAAGGCACTGGACGATGACTAGACGGATGCATGAAAAGAGAGGATATGGTCTGATGTATTAATCCGTCTGTGTGGCTCCACAGGAGCAGCGAAAGGGATTCTGCTGTGCAGAGCAGCTTCTCGTAGCTCCTCTGTCTCTGACCTCAGGCTCAGTCCTGCCATAACTCTCTTCATTACAGCCTTAATGGGCCAATCAACAGCATGCCAGGCCAAAGGCACACTCCTCTCCTCTTCACGGCTTTACAGGGCTGCAGAGCTCTCCTCCTCCTCTCCTCTCCTCTTCCTCCTCCTCTCTAATCCTCTCTCCTTATTTCTCATCCACTCTACATGTCTGTCTCTGATATTCCCTTTTCTCTCTTTTTCTGTTTCACTTCCTTCCACCTTTTCCCAGTGTATCTGTATGTGCAGGAGTCATTATACTGACAGTGCACTGGGGTGACCTCTTGAGCATATTTTGTATCAATGACAGGTTGTGCATGTACTGCATGAGTGTGTTTGCTTGCTTATGTGTCTCTACTCCCATGCCTCTGACACATGTATGTGCTTCTTTTCAAATTTCAGTTCTGTCATTTAAGAAAATAATCCATCTTGTTGGCACTACAAAGCCCTTTCAAACCTTGGATGGTGTAGCAAAATGCATGGTCATTAAGCTCAAAAGATGGATGTTAATCTCAATTGATGAAGGGAGCTAGTGCATATCTATACCATAAAACAGACTATATCTTTACCGCAGGCCTTAATGATCAGTTATATTCTTGAATAAATGGGAGTATGCAGACACATCAAGCCAACGAGGGCAGGTGCTGAGCCGAAAGTGTGCAGATATTAAAATGAATAAATAGCTCACACACTGCAGGGCTCCATTGTTCGCTTATTTATCACACCAAGGTGGTGACATTTCAAACACAACTGCCTTTAATCAGACTAAAATGTAGACTACTTTAGACTATGGTCCAGACTACTTTAGTCTGATGAAGAGTGGTTGCGCTCAAACGTCGCCCACCTTGGTGTAATAAATAAGTGGTCATTTGAGCCCTGCAGTTTGTGAGCTATTTATTTTGATGTTTGACGTGTCGACCAATATCCAATACCAGTGTGAAAAATATTGTTTCTGGATTGATTACACATGTGCAATTCTTGAGATATAACCATAGACTGTATAAAAAAAGTGGACGCAGCCACCATGACACCACCTATTTGTTTATGGACTACAGTTTTGAAGGCTTGAGTTTGGTATTTTGGCTGTAGCCATCTTGTTTGTTTTTTTTTAGCTAAAAGTGACCATATGTAGATGAAAGGGTGGATCTTACTGAGAACCCGCGTACACCGCCATGGTAGCATCCCATCAATCACAAAGTAGCCACGCCCCAAAGCACATCCTGCTTTATCATCTGTTTTACTCTAAATTGGACCAGAATTCACAAAACAAACATAATTTTCTGTTGAAGGTCAAGGATTGCCCCCTATTAGTCAATCAAACATTTGTCAACCAGAAAGGCAAGATTTCATTGGTTGCTTAGTCGCAGAAAATTAAAAAAAACAAAACAAAACGTGAAACTCTATTAGGAGCTGCACTGGGAAATTCATTTGAAAGGACAGAGACAGGAAGTGGCCACACTCAGCAGTCAGACAGAAGTCATGTTACAAACCAATCACAGCCGACAGATATCTTTCCCTTCTTCTGTAAATATTCAGTCTGATAAATATGGAAAAGATCATGTTAGTGCAGGGCTACCCAGAGCTTTACATCTGTCCCACAGACGATAGGCCTACACACTTATAAACAGTGTCTGGAAGAAGATCAGCTCTGCACTCAGGCTATACAATACTTGTTAAGTTTGCTTAGCAACCTCAGACACAACCTGCCGCCGCACTCTTGAAAGCTGGGACAAAAAAGGCACAAGAGTAGCGCCCAGTGTTCAACCTCGTGTTTTCCGAACCCTGATTTCCAGGGCTGGTACCTGCAGTTATTCCACAGGCTAGTTAATAACATGTCGGGCAGGAAATCCAAAGTGTGGGATCATTTTGAGAAGGTGAAGGACGAACCCAAGGTGATATGTAAACTCATCTTCATTGGTCGACTACAGACATGACGTATCATCTGAAACATGTCAGTAGCTACATGCCCATTAGCCACTTAGCACAATCATTACTGCTTTGCCGACAGCGTCATTAACAGGCGGCTCGCTCAGTGTGTGACGTGCACTTGTAGATAAAATATAGGCCTAGATTAATGAAGGTTCATTAGTACGGTTTTGTATTTCTCTGTAATGTAGCACAGAGTTAACAATGTTACTGATACTATTCTTTCTCACACCTTCAACTCAAACCATTGTGTTGCCCCGCCCAAAATATATCATTTAATAATTAATATTGTAAACATGTGGGCGACTAGTCGACTAATGGCCCTAAATGACGACTATTGGTGGACTAGGAAAATTCTTAGTTGTGGACAGCCCTTAAACTAGTGATTGAGATTAGGAAAATGTTCAGTGAGAAGTAGACTTCTGTATAATCAGACTTCTTTTTGCAACCAGTGGAGAAACCCACTGCTGGCCATTAGAAAGAATGCAGGCATCTCCTCATTGGCTTCACTTTACATACTTGGAGGCAACGTCCACTTCTATCAGAGAATCTATGGATAGGACACCTCTTCACCGAGAGATGTCTGTGGTCTATGGTGTCATTTTACAGATCCACTCACTAATGGTTGGACATTTTTAATGCTCTTTGCTTTGACATTGAAGCCCCCAGTTAATAAAACGAGATCTGTGTCACATACGAAGGACAGAAAACAGATTTTAACTGCAGTGTGAAAACATTAGCAGGAGCACAAACCACTCAACTAATGATCATGAGAGGGCTGAATATGAGACTGCTGCAAATGACCTGTTAACAGGAATGATTTTTGCATAAGTTTCAGCCCTACTACACAGCAGTCTTTTGTTTGGAAAATGCATTAAAGTGAGATCATTGACTCCAAGGTTATTAACAGTGTGGTCTGAGCTTGTTGGTATGTGCACGTATGTGTTTGTGTGTCCCTGTCTGCCTTTATTTTGGGACAAATGGTCAGTGTGAAGTATGTGTGGACGGTGAGGTAGAGAGGATCAATAATGGTGATGAGAGTCGGGCCAACAAACGCATCATTTTAATCACCCTGGACCTTTAGACTACACCAACACACAGTCCTGCCACTCTGTGTTTGTGTGTGTGTTACAGTCTGCCGATGTGTATGCCGATGTCAGCACATGTATATATACAGTATTCATTATTCATCAACACTTTCAGTTCAACAACAGACCTTCATTTTATACATTGTTCATACCAAAGGCAAGTTTACAGGAAGCACTGTAGGAATCGGGGACATCTTGGCGCAATCTGAATAGGCACAGTATATGGCATCGTGTTTGAAACTCCATCAGGTAAATTATAATCTGGCTGCAGGCTGGTGCCAGCAAAGGAAGGGTAAAAGGTTAGGAAGGCCATTAAAGCTACTTTCTGGATTAGAGATCAGCCTCTGTACCCAAGGAAATGTTCCAAAGTACAATTTGCAGTAAAGGGACGACCCAAGCCAAAACACTGGATGCATTTTTTAAAAACCCTGTCCTGGAATATCATTAATCCAACACAAGATTTACGTTTTAAAATGCAAAGCAAATGACATGACACACTGCGCCTGTAAATCAAGGAGTGACCTACAGGAACTGTCGTGACTGGAGGGGTTTACCTTCAACTCTGAAATATGAGGTAATTGCTCTGCTGGCGGTTACGTGTGACAAGATAATGTCAAAGATCCACTTATGCTTTATTAGAGTAACGACCTTTGAGTTGAGATTATTTTGCACACAAATCACCCAGGTCAAGAATCAACTTCCCTGCTCAGATATTGGTGTTTAGTTTTGAACATTCAGCACACATGAAGATTTGTATCCAAAATAATCATCCACCAAATCATCTCTTCCAGGATCCCTGCAGGGAGAACACCAGAGGAGGCTGTACAAGGAGCTGCTCGCTAACTACAACCGGCTGGAGAGACCTGTGGTCAATGACTCAGCAGCCATCTTGGTGGAGCTTGGCCTCACACTGCTGCAGATCATAGACGTGGTGAGGAAGGCAGCATTAGCTTATTGTTATTTATGTTTGTTGCGTGGTGTTTAGTGTGGGCAGTGTTGAATGTAGGAAGTAGGGATGCATAGATATGGATATTTTCAACCAATACTGTTAACTGATATTTACCTGCTTCTCATGGCTGATAACTGATGCAATAACTGATAAGTATATAACCCGCAGTTTATGTACACCCGAGGTAGCCTGAGTGTCAGACTGAAGCTCCCAGAACCTTCGGTCTGACATGGCTTCCATTGAAGGCGATTTACAAGGGGGAGGGAATTTGATTTTTCCCTAACCAATCAGTAGAGATCAACGACTCACCCAGAATCTGACGTCATTAGAATCCATGCCTCGGGGGTGCCGAAAACAAGCGATCATTGCCTGTTTAAAATGTCTCCGTCGTCGTGCACGCCCAGCTGCATCGCCATTAAATCCAGTTTAGCAGCTTCCTTAATTTGGTCCTCCATTAACGCGAGTAGTGGCGAAATACCACGATAGCATCGTTAATGTGGTCTGTAGGATCTGTAGCGGTCGCCATTGTCGCTATCCTCACCAGTTACCCACCGGCGTACAGCTTGACGTCAGCGTGGCGCTGATTGGCTAATCGCTAGACCCCCGGCGTTCATTGGTCCGTCTATCGTTTGGACGAGATAAATCGCAAATTCATTGAAGTATGCCAGACCAGTAATGCAAGCCTACTCAGTTGAGTGGGCGGGGTCTATGGTCTGGAACCAGGCTACACCCGAGGGTAAGAAAGGCAAAGATGTAGTGAAAATATGGTTATTAATACGTTTAACACCAGAGTCGAGCCTTTTAAAAGCTCGGTGTTGGATGTTAGCTGCTGCTGCTAAGTAGCTCATGTTAACACTCTGGAGATGGTTCTTCAGCGCTGTGTCTAACCTGTGTCGGCCGGTTGGAAATCAGACCCTTAGCGCAATCCTGTTGTCTTCCTCTGGAACTGTAAAAGACATCCACACCGTGACATGTTTGGCCTTCCTGACAGCTGCAGTTGTTGTTGTTCTTCTTCTCTGTGTTTATTGGCGGCTCACATAATCAGAACATAATTGGCGTCACTGCAAACTCTGAATCCATCGCAATGGTTCAGCATATTTACTTATATATAAACAGAAGTCGGAAACGCAAATTCGCCTCCTCCGTCCAAATCAAACCGGAATGCCAAAAAATCGGGGGTCTGCCCCCAGAGGCTGTATCACCGTCTGCTGGAAGTCAGATGCCGAATACAGCCGATGGGTTCCGAGAATGATGAAAACAGTCTGGCTTGGTATTATCAGCACTAGTTATCGGCTATAATTTTAATTATTGGAATATTGCACAATTATGAAAGTGTCCCATTATCGGCCGATCATTTTTCAGCCCGATTATCGTGCATCTTGAGTAGGAAGTGTGGCAAGATTTAAAGTTTGTGTTTTATTGGGCATTAGAGGCATAAAAAAGAATTCGATACACTTGAGAATCGTGATATTATGTTTTGTGATACTGTATCGATTCTCAAAAACACTATTGAGTTTAATTAATTGTTCACATGCAAAGATTTGTAACAGTGGTTCAGTTTTGTGTTGACCACTAGATCCTTCAGTGTTGCAGTCTTTCTTAAGCCATTTGACTTTTCCACTGCAACATAACAACGTATCACTAGTGTGAAAACAGCGAACACAGGCACTACTAGCATTGACCATTTTTGCATTATATTTAATCGTAACACCTGTATTGTGATACGTATCATATCTTGCCGATATACAGCCTTATTGTGCATACAGTCAGTACGTTTACATGCACGCAGTAGTCGAGCTAAGCGCATTGCTCTGCTAATCAGTCCAGTTGGACTTCTTGTCTTGTCTGAGTATACATGCAGAAGAGAAAATCAAATTTCTGACCAACTTTTTAACAAAGTGTGTATTGAACTAGTTCCGGTTGACCCGAAGAGGAAGCTAACGACGAATGAAGATGGCGGAGATAAATGTAGTTTCCTCGTCCACCCAGAAGTGCTGCTGCCACGTCATCTCCTTCTTCCCCGCGAAAGAAAAAGTGGTGGATGCGCAGAACACAGTCCAACTCTAGTCAGACTAAGTGGATACATGTAGCAACAGTTCAATTCTAAATCGAATTATCTAGTTGTGTTAGTCGAGCTACTGATAGTCCAATTTCAGTCGGACTAAGCTGTTAACATGCATTTAAAAGTCCGGTTTCAGTCAGGCTAAGCCAATAACTCGATTTTTCTCAAGCTGCATGTGAACATACTGAGTGAGAAAAGCTGTATTACATATAGGGGGACTTTCCATGATGGCAAAGTCAAAGGTAGCTCAAAGTCCCACAGCACAGTCCTTACAGTGTCAGGATCAGAACCACGGTGGTTCACTGGCTGGATGCAAAAAAAATATCCGAATGCTGATCTATGATGGAGAAATACAGAGTGAAGGCTCTGAGGAAAAGTGAGAGAAAATGTGTGAAAAGGAAAAACAGTACTGCAAACAGAGAAGTAATATGTGCCAAGAGAAATATAACAGTGTGTTTTCTGTGCGTGTGTTTGGTCTGGTGTGTGTATGTTTGAAGCCGAGGGCATCTGTGGAAGAGGTGACACAGCCAGCTGCAGGGTTGTGCTTATGGAACAGTGTTAAATGTTGGCGGAAGTAATGCACTTGTGCTGTTTGACTTCTGTTACATAAAGACCCTCTGGACTGGGATAATAAGAATTTGGGTCACACACACACTGAACACTTTCATACATTGTTCTTTAGTGTTTGACTTTCTACCTGAAAGTCTACTGGCTGCAACTTTACCCTAACTGACATGTAGTATGTCTTAATTTCGTTACAATAACACTAAAGTTGCACTAAAGTTTTTAATCTTTACTCCTCAGGGAAAGCTGGCTGAGCATAGTTGTTCTTTTGCTGCTCCACTGAGTCGGGTTAGGGCTGCGCTCAGACCTGCAGTAGACCTGCCTGAAATAATACATGGCTAACGTTAGCACCCATGGATGTGATGGGAGTGCCAACACATGGGGCTGGAAGTGGTTGATATGTTACACAAACAGGACTCCCTGGATGTCTTGCTAGTACCCTCAACATAACTCCCCAACTAACGCAGCTCCTTGCCTTGTTTTAATTCAGTGCCTTTTTCTGTCTAAAGTGTTTTGCTCCTTAAGATCAGTTGCTTATTTACTCCCCCCCCACACTTCCTCATGTTGTCTAGACTGCAGATAAGAGGTGTCAAGCCCTCCCCAAGGGCCACCGTCCTGACAATGTTTTGTGTCTACTGGAGTTTGACACGCCTGACACATTCCCAATTTATGAAGATTACCATTCCTTCCTCCCTCCAGCCCGTGACCCAGAAATCAATCCAGGTCTACTATCTTTAATGACTTTTCAAATTGTTAAAATTCTGCGCAGAGTAGCAGGAGGCCTCAAATGACTCTCCGACTCATTAACCACCAGGAAGGACCAAAAACCTGTGAGACACTTTGCAGGCTGCACATTTGTCAGTCAGCCCGTCCACAGAGAAGTGAAGACACTTTAGGGAAGTGTTAGCATGTTAAATTCTCTGCGTTTCATGCAGCCAGATGTCTGCTCTGATTTGTCAGAAGAGACTGATACGCAGTACTTTGTGAGCATTCTCGTCCCACAGGGCCTTGTACTTTTCACAGAGGGGCAATTTTAGGGTTGTTTGTCCTTGTTCTGGTAGTTGTTGTTGTCTCGTCTGCTTAAGAGGAGGAGAATGGAAGAATGATGTATGTTTTAATCACATTCTCTCGAGCGTCTAACTGAGACAAGTCAAGTGGACAAGTAACCTAATTTAAAGACTGTGCTTGTGCGGCCATTATACTGAAAGAAGAGGATTGGGTGGGAGCCATCTGCATATTTCCTGAGTGGTTGAGAGGATGTGGTGGGCAGTACAATGACAGAATTTTAATGTTGTCATTAACTTTTTGAGCAAGACACTAAACCAATGATGCTCAACTTACAGTCCATGGGCCAGATCTGTCCTGTGATAGGGTGCAGGGTGGCCCGCTGATCATTTTCTGATTCACAATGATAGTAAAGTAATTCACCCTGGGAACTTTTTATGTACTTTAAATGTAAATAAAGTGCCAGAGTGCACAAAAAAACATAAAAATAGAGCTTGGTTATGGAAAAAAAAATGGCAGGGGAGTATCCCCCGGACCCCCCAACAGAAGTCCGGGCAAATTCTACACATGCCCCTGTGCACCTGACCTGTGTGGGGCTGCTGCCACTGGATTTGCCTCTAGGCAAAGATGAGACAACACCAAATGTCGACAGGCAATAAATTTGTTACATATAATGATAAATATTATCAGTGTTTTTTAACTGGCCCCTAACTACCTGTCATTTTACAAAGGTGGCCCCTGTGCAATGCAAGTAGAGTGTCTCTGCTCTAAACATTAGGTGGGATTCAGACCAGCCAGGAGCTTGATGCTCATTCAGTGTTGCTGAAGGGACTAATTTTCAGTTAACCCTTTGAAACCAGGAGCGACATCACTTTTCTTGTGCTGGTTTCAAACACCTTTCGCAAGTATTTAAACCTTTGAACCCCAAGCTAATTGGTGCAATTTCTTTCAGAATCATGGGGAAAAAAGTGATAGGCAACTTGGTAAGAAATGTTCCACAAAGAAAAAAGCTAGAGAAAACTATATTTAGAATTATCATTATTATATGTTTAAAATGATTTTTACACAATGATGATTTTTAGGATCCTTTTCCAGGTCATTTTGTTTGTTTATTCTTAACTTTCTTTTCCTTTTTTTCCTTTTTTTTTTTACTAATTATCTTGTTTTTGATTTTCTCTTTTCTTACTAATTTCTTGCTAATTTTTTGGGTCATTTCCCCTTTCGACGCACATTGCCTTTTTCCCATGTTTTTGAAAGAAACTAAGCCAATTTGCCCAGATTTCAAAGGGTTCAAAAAAAGTCCCCTTTGAATCCATTTAACATCTTTGTGTCTTCTCTGAGCGAATAGCTT